AGGACAGAAAATTAGGTAGGCGGAGTAGACAGAAGAGAATGCTGGGAAAAAGAAGCTTAGTGAGTGAGTCGCCATGATGCTCCCACTCCAGACAGACGCAGGTTAAGATCCTCTCTGGTAAGCCAGCTCATGGGCTACACAGAATATTAGAAATGGGTTAGAACAATATGTAAGAGCTAGCCAATAAGAAACTGGACCTAGCCAGGCCAGGCAGTGTTTGAAAGAATACAGTTTCCGTGTAATTATTTCTGGGTATAAACTAGCCATGCGGGCGGCCGGGTGCCGGGGACGCAGCCCTGCCGCTTCATATTTCAACATTCTTAAAAAGTCTTTAAATCGGGAACAAAATCCTTAAGACTCACAAATAAACTGTCCAAGCGTTTCTAAGTTAACTAAGGTACCAAAACAGCACAACCCTGACACCAAGTGGTAAAAAGCAGACCCGAGAGTCACTGCCAACAGTTGTGGGGCCGGGATTGTTAGAGGGCATCTGACAGACACTCAGAGCTTCAGTCCTGTGGTCTTAGCCTTAAGATTCATTGCCAAGGTCATTTGTCACATAATACTTTTTTTTTAAAGTACTTTAGATGAGGTGGTGGAATTTGCCTCTAAACCCAGCCTTCAGGGGGCACAGAGGTGGATATTTGAGAGTTCAGGGGTAGCCTGGATTACAAAGCAAGTTCCAGAGCCACATAGTGAAACCCTGTCTCAAAATAAATAAGTGACTTTTTAAAAATAAAAGTAAACTACACTAGCAATGCTCCATACAGAGAACTGGGTTGTTTTTTGTTTTTGGTTTGGTTTGGTTTGCCTTGGTTTTTCGAGACAGGGTTTCTCAGTGTAGCCTTGGCTGTCCTGGAACTCGCTCCATAGAGCAGGCTGGCTTTGAACTCACAGAGATCCACCTGCCTCTGCCTCCTGAGTGCTGGGATTGAAGGTGTGTGCTACCACCGCCCAGTCAGAGAGCTGTTTTAATAATTCAACGAATTAAAATATTAATGTCTTATATGCGTTAAATAAATATTAGCTCTTAATAGCTCCTATTGCTGAAGACACCATGCACTTCATTGGCCTTGAGCATGAACCAACCTGACTGCCTCCTCCTGAGGACTAGCTTTCAAGGTACCAGAAGGTGTCATGCAACCTTCCAAAGGAGGGAATCGCCAACTGTCTCAGCCAGCTATGACACCTATAAGCCACATCAACAACCCAAGGGTACGGTAGTGAAACATATACATTGATGATAACATGGTAACAATAGCTCTCTAATTGGACTTAAATCTTGTTTAACAAGTAGGAACTCATACCAAAAAAAAAAAAAAAAAGGAAACACACACACACAAACAAAACAAAAAACACCAAGTTTTTAAGGACTTTTTTACTTGTTTTTAAGAGAAAGGACATGGTAAAACTGTGCAGGTAGGGAGATGAAGAGATTCTGGGAGATGTGAGGGAAGGGGAAGAATATGATCAAAATATAGTGTGTAAATTTTTTTTTAATTATAAAAAATAAGAAAGACGTCATGCCTACTATTGAAAGCCTCACCAACTACCTAGGGCTAGTGAAGTCATGGATCTTGAAGGGGAACAATTCCTAAACCAGTAGAATCCCCAACTACATTCTAGACATTTGTCCTTACTCACAAATAAGTGTATTCCTCAGTGTTCATCAAGGAAATTCCTCTTGCAGCAAGCAGAGACCATTTCAGAAAACCACAGCCAATCAGAACACATAGTTTTGGAGCCCAGTTCCAAATAATACACCTACAACACAACTCCCACACCTAAGGCTCAGGGATCACTGCAGAAGAGAGGGCAGAAAGGTTGCAAAATCAGAGAAGGGGGTTGTTGTGAGATTGTGTCTCTTTCCAATGTCAGAAGCTATAGCATGAGAAATAATCTTACCTGGGGAAGAGCACACCAGCTGGCTCTCCAATAGCAAGTGGCCAGCCATGGAAACATACATACAGGTCACATTATACAGACTGAACGGGTTGTACTATTCACTAAATGGACATATAGAGCTACACACATATATGTATGTAACAGTAATGAATAAGAGGTCATGGGTTTGAAGAAAAGCACGAATGGGTTTACAGGAAGGCTTGGAGGGGGAAATGTGCCTTAGTTACCTTTCTACTGCCATAATCAAGAAAAAGGAAATCTTTAATTTGGGGCTCACAGTTACAGAAGGTTAGTGTCCAGAAAAACCTGCATCAAGAAATTTTTATTTGCTCCCACAGATGAAAAAGAAAAACAAAATAAATAAATGAATAAATAAAAACAAAAGAACAACAGCAAAAAGGAACCATCCTTGAATTCATGCATGTGAAAATACATTTCAAAAAAGGATGAAAAAGAAATGAATACTTAAACTAGGACAAATCAGGGAAAAGTGGAGTCTCTGAGAGTGATAGAGGCTTCTCCCTCACCTCCAGGCCTAGAACCCCAGGCTAGTGGCTTCCAAACCCAAGAGAGTCTGTTTCAAAATCAGTTTTATTGTAAGATTGTAGGTAGGAGCTTAAGAGGAAAGGGGGGTGGTGGCGGCAGAGCTCCTATAGAGGAGAAATAGGTCCCCAAAACGAAGTGCTGCCAAGCTCAGCCCAGAGACCTTTTATAGGACTTGTGGCAGAAGAATTAGGTAAGGAATAGGGGTGGGGCACGGGGTGGGGCATAGAGACAGTTTTCTAAAGTAAGTACAGAGGGTTACGGTAAAGGTTCTCTGCCACCCTCATGCTCAGAACTCATGTGAAACAACTGAGCTCAGTACTCACCTGCAGTTGGCACAAGCAGAAAGCTGATAAACTCTGCCTAGCAACCAGGGTGCATCACTTCTGGGGTGCAGTGTGATAAGGCCTCACGGAAGACACCTCAGCAGCTCACTGAGAATCTTCCGGCAATTTCACTGATGCAATTTATTTTTCAGTAGGATTCACTGACTTTCAAAGTCACAGCGAGGCAAGATTAATTCCAGTAGTATCTCTATAATATCAATAGCTTTGTTGTTTTTTGTTTACTTTTTTGAGACAGGATCTGATATACCTCAGACTGAATTCAAAATCTATGTAGTGGAAGATGACCTCGAAACCCTAATCCTCTTGCCTCTACCTTCTAAATGCTGCACGTACAGGTGAACAACACCCTACCTCGTTTATTACCAAGTTTTTGAAAATAATGCAAATGCCTCCCAGTAAGAGTGGTTAATAAACTATGGTGCATTCACATACTGTAAGGTGCAGCATCTGGAAAAGGGCAAGTTCCACCCCATGCATAGCAGAACATCTCACTTATATTTTCTAAATGAATACATTTCTAAGAGGAAAGAAGGAAAAGAAGGAGGGAGGATGGGGGAAAGGGAAGGGATTAGTTCTGTGTACTCTATAAGATAAACATTGTTAAATGGAGAAAATACAGAGCTCTAGTCCAGTATGCTGCTTAAACAGGAGTACAGCATAATTCTTTGTTCTGCATGCGACCTCTACAAAGTCACATACAAACTGACAGCAGGGAGTGCCTGGAGGAGAGAATTTAGGGACCCAGGAGTAGAAGAAAAACTTCACATTTTGAATGTTTAATCCATAGTCATGTATATCATCAGAATAGCAAAATCCAAATTGTGAGACCTAAAAATTATTTTTAGTGTCAGTGAGATGGCTCACTGGGTAAAGACTTAAAACCATGCCAGGCATGATGGCCCATGCCTATAATCCTAACACTCAGGAGGCTGAGGGAAGTGGACCGCCCTAAGCTCAGGGTCAGTATGGTCTACCAAGAGAGTTTCAGGCTTGTATGGACTGACTAAAGACTGAGATGCTCTGTCTAAAAAAAGATAAAGATGAAACATGAGAGAACTGTAAATGTCCTAAACTGTCCTTGTCAAGTTCAAGATTCTTATCTTGGTATTCCAGATGCTGAAATTACAAGATGATTCTTCAGGATGAGAAGAACCTATCAAATGGAAACTCTGTGTGTGTGTGTTTGTGTGTGTGTGTGTGTGTGTTACGAACAAACCCATAGATGATGGCAATCTTTAGTTCAAATATGAATTACAACAGCATTTAAAAGATGTGCCCTGCACATCCAGTGATCGCTATGAAGTCTGTGTGGCCTTTGAGCAGTCCTAGCTTTACAGTTACCACCCTGAGCAATGTTTATAAGAGAAGAACTACACAGGAGTGACACCATATACCCACAGTCAAAGAATAATGTCACTACACTAAACTTTAAAAGTTGCTATAAGTTGCAACATTATGCAGTAACTACTCAGCCATTTTTTCACAAGAGACTCATCAGAGCCAGGGCCTATGGATGAAGGTTTTAAACTAAAACGCAAGGTTTTCTGACATTATTGTTTTGTAAATTTTTTTTTTTTTTGCTGTAAATTTTTGCTGTAGCTGACTCCCCTTTTGTTACATATTTGGGAATTAATTCCCACAGTTCAGAACTATTTCCTAGTGCGGTGGTGGCGCACACCTTTAATCCCAGCACTCGGGAGGCAGAGGCACGCAGATCTCTGAGAATTCGAGACCAGCCTGGTCTACTAGAACTAGTTCCAGGACAGGCTCCAAAGCTATATAGAAACCCTGTCTTGGGGCCGGGCGGTGGTGGCACATGCCTTTAATCCCAGCACTCGGGAGGCAGAGGCAGGCAGATCTCTGTGAGTTCAAGACCAGCCTGGTCTACAAGAGCTAGTTCCAGGACAGGCTCCAAAACCACAGAGAAACCCTGTCTCGAAAAACCAAAAAAAA